AAGTTTAAAGCACTTGCCTTCATATCCAGGCTCATTTTAATAGCTTAGATTTATTTCAGCAATCACTTTCTTACATTAAGTGGGTTGATAGATTTCGCTTTGAGAAATATCAAAGTGAAATTTTAACTTCATTCTGCAGTCAAATTTTGTTGTAAATGCAATAAAAGCCTATCTACAAAAGTTTAATTATGAAACACTAATTTTGTATTTCCTCCTGAAATTTGACTTATTTCCTGTTTTTCCTCCTTTTTCGTCACGTTTAGACCCTAAACTTCTCATACTCCCATCCACAAGATTTTCCGTTTCCCAGTTCTGCTTCGTTTTTCCCAGTTCTTAATCCAAAGCTTTTATTCTTTTACCTCAAGTCAGCTTCAGTCAACTTCCTTTCCGAGCAGTCTCCCATCACTTCCAGCTCTCTCCTTCTCCTGCTGCCCTCCCTGTCTATATTTTTTTTTGCCCCCGAGGTTTTCTGTGTGTAGTTAAGTGGCACAAGCATGGAGAGTTAGTGAGGCAGTAAAAAGGATGATCTAGAGGCCTTTCTGTGGCACTCACCCCTCTCATTTATCCTGTTAGCTCTCAACAGCCCTGGAGCTCGGAAAAGCATTAGCCCCCTTTCCCGAAAAAGGCGTTTTAATTCAAATGCATCTATGTGTGTATTTGTGTAGCTTTTGTGTTTCACTTTGAGTGTTTGCGTTCTCGTCCCAGCCTTCTACCAACAACAGTAAGAACAGTATAGTGAGCGCCATCAATGCCCTGAAAGACACCAACATGGCAGCCAACGCCCAGATGGTACAGTAGGCCGCCGCAGTGCCAGTTCCCGCCTCTCTCCTCCCCCCTCCACCTCCAAGTTGTTGCATAGTTGCCCGATTTATTTTTTCTTGCCTCATCCTCCATCATCATGCTTGTCATCCTTCATCTATGTTCCAGGAGATGTTGCTTTGTATCATTCCCCACCCCAGCAGTGCCAACTTGAAGCCATAAAACCTCCCAAAGGTGCACAAGTGTTACTGAGATCGATGAGCATTAAAGACCTTTGGGAATCCTTCAAAATTATAAAATCATTATTTTAAATCTCAGGCAGCGCATGTGCACCCGTTTAGTTTTACACACAATAAATTGGAATATCATTGAAGAGTCGGTGTCTTTCACTTATTTCAATTTAAGGAGTGAAACTTGTTAAAGTGTTTATTTTTGTTAATTTAGATTATTGTAATTTAAAGTCAGTCAAAACCACAATATTAGCTTATCAGAAAATGTAAATATTCAGTTTTTTAATATAGCGCCAATTCACAATAAATGCCGTCTCAAGGCACTTTACAAAAAATAATTTCAATTCAAATTTTTCCTAGTCATCAAGCAGTAGAGTATGCTCAATGAATTATTGAAAATAGTTGAAAGTTTCTAAGGAAACCCAGTGGATTGCTTTTTATATTGCATAGGAATATACTGAATATTTGTAAGCAGTTACTGACATTCTCAACAAGAATGCCAAGCCACAGAAGTTCATATCTATGTGAACTGGCTCCCACCACAATGAATTCAAAGCATATTAATAGAAAGCTGAGTGGAAGGAAAAAGTTTCTGGACTGCAAACCCTGGAGTAGATTTACAAGATGATTGTGGCATATATTGCGATATAAATGAAATGGGTGACTAAAAGCTATTCAAAAAGCCTTTTTAATAGATTGTGAAGCTGAAGTAAGGGCTTCTCCACACACAGACGTATCCAGGATGGGCAAGAAGTGTAACTTTTATTGTGTTAAATTATTCCTGAGGCAGAGACAGTTTGATTTTACCTGGGCTAAGATGACAAATGAGTGGGCAGTAGCTTGGTGACCCAAAGTCGTCTTTTCAGGGGAAAGTAAATAATACATTTCATTTGGAAATAAATGAAAAGTGAAGAAGAACTGAATCAAAGTTCCTTTAGGTCCAGCATGAAGTTTCCTCAGTCATCGATGCTTTGAGTTGCCATGTTGGCGTGAAAAGGCCATTGCAAAAGATGCATAATATTGGAAAGTTGAGTGATAGGAAAAACTCATCTAACGTTATTAAGAGGAAGATGAGAGATAGCAGACAAATTCAGTAAGTATTTTGTGAAAGGGGCTGTATTTAAATATTGAGTGTAAATACTGTACAATGCAATATTCTTAAACTGAATTCAAAATCAAATGAATACACAAAACAAGATGGCCGCCTTGGGCAGGGTGACGTCACTTTAAACCATGGTGGGGGAAAAATCCAGATTTTCAAAAACTTTAATCTTCAAAATCCACATTTCTATGTTAAAATCTTTTTTATAGGTTTTATGTTTGGTTTCACGATCATCAAAATTACCAGAGACAAACACTTTAAATAAATTTGCTTCTAATTTATTTGCATAATGAATGAGTTTCACTTTTTGAATTGAATTAATGAAATAAACCAGCTTATCAATCATATTTTCCTTTCCCAGTTGCATCTGTATATAAAGCATGGGCTTGTTGGTTGGACTATTTACCGCTCACATCATGCAGCTAGCAGTTGAAGCATCAGACAGTTTTTTTAATTCTCTTGTTTCTCCAGATTCTTTGTATAAACTTTAACATCCCAAACCCAACTAGATATGCTTTTGGCCTTTTTTCCATTTCAACCATCTATTCCAACATCTTTCTTTTTGCTCTGATTTTCTTTAGCGAATGTTTCCTCACTTTTCCTTCATTAACATTCTTACTGACATGCTGGTTCTACTGCCTTCATCATGCTCTTGCAGCATGCAGTGAATGGTGTGTTGCAGTGCTGTGGTTTGGATTAGGTAGTTTGCTTCAAAGGTGCTTCACAACTGGTGCAACAGGGCCCCAAGTTGTATTATATGTGTGCAATTTACAACTTCTACATTTCAAATGTATTCAGGTTTGCAGCCTAAAATTGTTAGATTTGTTTCTGTAGCTAAAGGAGTTTCAGTCTTTGACTTGAGTCAAGCCAACGTGGTGGAAGTGGTGATTTATTTTTTATTTGAAGGAGATTTAATGAATCAGAATTCTACCCAGGAATTTATGGAAACCCAACAGTGCTGGAAACGCTTATGAGAAAAACTAAAATGCTGCCAGCATTCAGAGAGAATGTTGCAATCGTTCACTTATATTTATGTCACCAGTTATCTGTGTTTTGTTCTGTAAAACATAGTGAATGGAAGAAGCTAAAAGTCTTTTGTTGTTTTTTAACACAAACACAAGGATGGATCTATGCTGCAATAATGTCACAAAATGTTGTTTTAAAGACCCTAAAACATTTATTCAGGCTAATGTTACACATGTTGTGGTTGAAACAGATGTCAAATTGTAGATGTTGTCAGAAATCAGCTGAAGTCAAACACCACTGCCTTCATGTGGCTCAGACCAGACCAGGTGTTAATAATTAAGTGATCCTTAGTTGTATTGAAAAGGGGCCAATAGAGATAAAATGGAGTAAAATTAACCTCATGTCCTCATAAACCACTGGGGTTTCTTGAACAGAACGGTTGCTAACTCATCATCTTCGTATGAACTTTGCCGTTGGTCCTTCCCCAGAATCCAAGATTTTTTTATTTTTTTTTTATAATGTAGAGATTAAAAACTCTTTTCTACAAGAGAAAGATTTCAGTTTATGCTTGCAGTGAAAGACCCCTGTTTCTGTGTAAAGGATCTTTTTGATCCGAGATGGACTTAAAGTTTTATCACAATGTTTTGTGGTACTGTTATGATCATGATAAAAGTGAGTTTATTACTCCTTGTGTTGCTGTAACTGTATGGAAGAGCAATCTTAGCCCCTCAAACACAAACACTGCTCTTGAAAAACAATGCCCGTTATTGTTGCACTGCTTTTGGACACTGCTTGCATAAAAAAGTGTGATTTGTTTGACTAAACTGCACTCAGCTACTGCATTTAATCATATCAGTGTATTTGATAGTGATATTGAACAATCAGTGGAGAAAATAATAATTCTGACAAGAAGACAGCAACAACAACTACAATGTTTTGGGATTTTTAACATAATTTATGGAAATTAAATCAAAATTCTTATGAAAAAAATAGCACCATAAATGGTAAACGATACAGTAAATGACCAACCCCAGTCAGAAGTCTTCCTATACCTTTTTTTTTTTTTTTAACGATAATGGCGGATGTCCTGTTGCTGATTGAAAGCTTCAAATGTAAACTGTATATCTCACCAGCTTCTTGTTCTCATTGAAAATTATTTCCAAATCTTTGTTTATTTTTGTGGAACCTGTAACCAGTCATCGCTGTTTCAACCTGAGAATCCGGCAGAGGTCACGCCGCTGTGACGACCTCAGTTGGCGAGTCAGGGGTGTAACGGAGATGCTTTTGTGAAAGTGGCTCACAAATTTTCAGCATAAGGATAAAATGTACATGTATACATATTTGGCAGTGGATTCAGATATCTGTAATTTTACCAACCTAAACCATCTGTCACTCTAAAAATGCCCTGTAGGCTGTGGATGTGTTGCAGAGGTAAAGTAGTTGGGGCCGGTTCAAACCCAGTTGAAACGCACCGTTTCAGAGCAAAAATATGCCAGACTGACTGTTCTGTTCTGCTCTGCAGGAATCTCAGAGCACAGTGGTGCACAACCCTCCTGATGGAGTCAAGGTAATACTTTAGTTGTGTTGAGTGGGAACACGGCCCCGCCCTGGTTGACTCGCTCTTGGATCTTTCCTGCGTTGGTTTCAGCATCTGTCTGTCCCTCTTCTCGGTCCTCAGGGATCAACAGAGAGCAACGCCACAAACGATGAGGAGGAAATGAAAGGTAGGAAAGGTACTCGAGTGTTTTATTCCCTTTTCCCTGTTTTCATTCACTGTCTCTTTCTTTCTCCCTTTTAGTGAAGTGTGTGTATTTGACTGTAGTGATCGGCAAGTGTGTTGCGGTCCTAAGCGTGTCTGTCGTATGTGTGTGTTTGTAATTATTGTGTGTTTGGCTACATCTAGCGGACAGTTCGGCGCTGAGTCAGAGCAGCGCCACTGAGGAGATGCCCCCTCTTCTGCCCTCACCTCAAAGCTCACCTGCCAGTAAGTTTATCTATGGCAAAGAGAAGCTATATGGTTGCCCCCTGTGCCCCCTGAAAGGACCCGACACCCACTCCTCCCACTCTCACCTCGGTTTCTTGTAGCACTGGCAATGACGTCTTCCATGTTTGAGCTCCGCTCACACCCCGATCTACCAAGCGTTACTTTTTTATAGGGTTCCCACTGGTTTTTGAACGTTTCTGGACTCAATCAGATTCTGATGTCAGAGAATTTAATCTTTTAGTTTATTGCAACTTGGATTCCCCCCTCACCTCCTCACTGCTATTACCGTTTTTTCTGTAAAACAGGAAAATCTCAGCTTCCTTTTCCTTGCATACATGCGGTGAAGTTAGCGTAAATAATGTATTAATATTAAAGAGCACCTGTTTTTGCCAAATCTACATTTTACACATTTTTGTCCTCCAGTTTGGGACTCAACTGCTTCTAAAATCAGCCCAAGTGCTTAAAAAGAAACACCCACCCTGTTTTTTTTTTTCTGTAAAATGAGCCATTTCAAAAACTTCCCGATTGTAAAGTCACAGTTGACGGGCACAGCGCTGTTACCAAGCAACCCCAGCCAAAGCCAGCCCATCGCCTACCTGAGCGAAATCCCAACGTTTGGTCAGTTGGTTTTTCCACTGTATGAGCTGTACAATGGCTGCTGGAAAAAAACAAGTGTTTTGTTGTTGACTTGCCATCCAGAAACCACTTGCTGCATTCTTGTTGGTTGTGTGGGAGGCTCTACTTCTGCTTTTCAAATATATATAGTTGTACAATTGCAGCAATTTTTTCATGCAAGTGAAAATGTTGAGTTGGGGGCGTGGCCAGCAGAAACTTATTTGAATTTAAAATATCGAGATGCCATAAAGCAGCTCATTCTGAAAGGAGCTGAAAATAGCCAGAACTGGCCAGATTCAAATCTCATAATCTAAGAATGATTTTGTGAAAAAAAAAAAATGTAATGAACATGTTTTGTATAACCTACAGACCTGTTATAACAGGTTAAGGTACTACAATAGGTCATCTTTAGCAGAAAAAGGATTTTTTTGTGTGTGTGTGTTTTTCTCCTCTTTTAGAAACCTTTCTTCCTAAAAATTATTCTTGAGTAGCTGGTCTATCAAAATACAAAGTACTATGTCATCTTTCTAGATTTTAGTATGTTTAAATTTGGCTGAGCTGAATAATTTTTTTTTATTTGAAAAAGTTGAACTACACCATGTAAGAAAACAGATTTTCAGAAGCCAAAAAAATAATAAAATACACGTATGTTAAGCTCAGATGATACAAAATCCCTAGTGTGTTATATATTGATGATTATGGCTTACAGCTCTTGAAGACCCAGTTTATGTCATCAGAAAATTTAAATAAGAATGGCTTCATAATGCTTAAATGTCAGTCCAATGAAAAGCAGGTTCACCTACTGTACAGTGAATGCATTCAGTACTTGGTCAGGGCTCCTTTTGCATGAGTTACTGCATCACTACAGCGTGGTCCTGCTGCTTTTTGCTCTGGTGTCCAAATTTCTTGGCAGACCACTGCTCTGACTTTGGACTTGATAAAACATGGTGGACTAAGACCAGCAGATACCTCAAGCTCTTAAATGGTCTTTGCTCACAATTCCTTCAAGGCTCCAGTTTTCCCTGTTGCCTACATACCTTTTTCACTATCCCATTTTTTTCTTACACTCAACTTTCCAATAAAATGCTTGGATGCATCCGTCTCAACAGGCAGCTTCTTTTGCATCAACCTTTTTGTGGCTTGCCCTCTGTGGAGGGTGTCGGTGGTTGTCCGCTGGGCAGCTCTAATCCAAGTTGAAATAAACTGGTTCATTTCGAAGAATTTCCCATTTAAAACGCTTTAGTTTTTGTCATTAATGCATTCCTTTTATTGAAAAGTACCAAAGAGCAGGGCTACTTTGACTATTTAAAGCAAAAGCAATGCACCAACTTTAAGAAAAAAAATAAAAATAAAAAAAGTTGTACATCTCTGATTTTTGGCCACTGTGGGAACCTTGAAGTGTGTGTGTGTGTGTGTGTGTGTGTGTGTGTGTGTGTGTGTGTGTGTGTGTGTTTCCTGGTGACCACTGCATATGTCCTCCTGTCCTCCGGTGGAGGTCCAGCTTACTTTGCAGCTGAGCATCCCAAACCGGCCCACTGCCCATCTGACTCTCCTGGAACCCTGCACAGCAGAGCATCATGTTTCTCTTTGTGCTCACACAGTCTCCCCTCTGTTCTCATTTACATGTTTTGCTCCGTTAAGATTCCTTCTCTTCATGTTCCCTCCTCTCTACTCTGAATCTTTCCATACTTTTTTCTGTAGTGCTCTTCTTCCTTCTGTCGAGCGAACACCCAAATGTTTTCCTTGCTATTACTCCTCAGTCGTATTTTCCATTTCTGTCTTCTTACTATAATATGGCGACTCCCTTTAGGCATAGCTGAAGCTAGTAAAAAGCAATGGCTTCGATCTCCTCTGCATTTGATGCTACCGGTCATCAGAGAAAGCTCCGTTAATCCATACGAACATTATGAGTAGTCACAAACATCACAATTAGAGCTGTATGGACCCTGCTTCCTGCCATCATCTCATGTTACCCATCTGAATGTCTCTCATCAACTTGAGTTGGAGCTTTACTTCCTACCAGTTGTACTGGAAACCAGCCCTACATCTACATTTCCCCCTCAGTTTTTTTTATTTTTTTATTTTGCTGCATGAAGTGTGTGTGCACGTTGCTTTTCATCTTCCCTGTTGTCCATCAACATGTATGTTTCACCATCCATTGTGTGTTTCAGTTCCACCGCATGATGTAAAGCGCATGGCATGGAACAGCACGGGCAACAGCTCCTGCCCCGACTCTGACCAATCACAGTCCTCCATCCCCTCTGCTCCACTAGGGGGCAGCACTGTCGCTACTAAAAGCAACACTAAGCTGAGTAAGAGCACCTCTCTCTAACCGCCTAACCCAGCTACACCTGCCTTCTGTTCTCAGTAGCTGCTTCCTCTCTGAAGTGCAGTAATGAAGTACTAACACCCCTTAGTGTCATGTTCTTTTGCTTTATTTTTGTTTGTTGTGTTATGACTTGGAATTATTGGATTTCTGAGATTCTTTAATCAAACCCCCCCCCGCCTCCTGAGTGATAACTTGTAATTTTTTTTAAACTATAAAAACAAAGAATATATACAGCGTCACAAAAAATTATTCGCATCCTTGCATTTGTTCTAGGGCTGCAAATAATGATTATTTTAGTAATCGATTATTCTGATGATAAATCGGATTTTTAAAAATTGTCCCATAATGTAGATTTTTCAATAAAGCCTTGTATACAATAATATAATACATTAAAAGATGCTTATAAACAATTCAGTTAATTTTTTTAGTAAGAAGATACATATTTCATTGCCTAGATTAAATATATATGCTAATCTGATTAGTTTTTAGGCTAATTTTTTAGGTGAGAGCTTAAAGTAGAGCCACTACTTCGCCACAATAAAAGAATTGGTTAAGGTGGCTCAGGTATCTGATCAGGATCCCCCCCACCCCAACAGCTGGAGGTCTCCTTGTGGAGGTTTTCTGGGCACATTCAACTGAGATGAGACCCAAGAGAAGACTCAGAACTTGCTGGAGGGGCTGTAAATCTCTTCTGGCCTGGGATCGCCTTCGGACCCCCTAGAATGAGCTTGAGGATATTGAGGGGTTCCCTTCTGGACCTGTTGCCCCAGCAAACTGATTTGGGTTGAGGGAAAGACAATGGATGGATTCAAATCTACACAAAATAGACTTTTTTTTCTAAATCTCTAAAGAAATGTAAACGTTTCAAAACAATAAACAAGTGTTCACTCCCTTTGATGGTGTAAGCTCAAGTGCTTCCTGTTTCTCCGGACTACTCTTCAGTTGCTTCTGCAACTTGTCTGAAGTCCACTTGTGGTAAATTCAGTTGATTGAGAAGATCTTGGAATGAACTTCCAAGATATGACTTGACATATCTCATCGAGAGTTGATAATTTTACTGTGAACCAATTGCTTTAATATTGCTTGTAACTAATGTCCAACGGTTAAAGGTTATCGGTCATTAAGATGCACCTCTATGGTAAAGTGGACAGATGAGCATTGTAGAGAATCTTTATTTTGCAGAAACACACCTTAAATGTTTTCAGATCATGAGAAAAATGTTTGGACTAGTAGAAACTTTTAGTCTGAATGACGAGCTTAGTCTCTGGGGCAGGAGGACACACGTGACGAGACACTGCTTGTCATGTGGATTACGCCATGTCACCTGTGAAGCATGTTGATGGTAGAATCATGCTGAGGGGATGTTTTTCTACTTGCATTCCAACATGGTTTTCAGTGATTTTTGGAAGCTGGATTCCTATGCATTGTTAAAGTCTGGAGCTTGCTTTCATCATTTTCCAGGTACAAATAGTTTGGGGGGCAGGGAAGGAATGAAGCTGCATTTGTGGAAGTGTTTGGTTTCCTCCACTTTTTCTTCTTCCATTTTGTAAAGGCTGCAAATTTAATAATGGCAATCAATACAGTTGAGATCAGTTGATTTTTATTTGCATGCCTTGTCTTGTCTTAGATTTTACCATTGCAGGCAACAGTATTTTTTCTTTTTTTGAGTCATTAACTCAATGCACACTCATTTCAAACACACTCAAACTGGAATATGTTACTACTATTTTGGTTTCTTGTGCTGAAATACATGACAAGTCTTTGTTCCACTGCACTTTTTCCATATGTGGTGAAATAAACCAAAGTCTTTCTGCCAAAGCCCTTGGGTATTTAATGCATTTCTCTTCTAACAGCTGTTTAGCTCTAATTAGCAAACATGCACAGTATGAAAAAAGTTTGGTTGGGAAATCAGTGGTTACTTAAGGCAAATTTAATTCCGTAAGAAATAGTTCTTGGTTGTTTTGAAACTGGCTTCGCCGCGAGAATTCACGGAATTTACGAGTTGAAAATTCGAATTTACGAGCATAAATTCTGCTCGTAAAATTGTTTTTATGGACAAATACACTCATACATATGTATCCTTTCATTCTTATTTGTGAAATGTAATGCTAATGGATGTAGTTTGTAGTGTACAACGGTTGAGCACATACATTTACCTCCGATAATTTGCCTCCAATCATACGTTACATCCGATTATACGTTGACGCAACGTCAACGTATGATTCAGCGCTCAATGAGGCGTCTATTATCTATGTCATGCTAATGCTAACATGGCGCTTACTTGCCGTTGCTAGCTAGCTTTTTTTGCGTCTGTTGGACCTTCATGGGTAAGTTCAAGTTTATCGTTAGTTGACTGGACGAAGTTCGTACATCGTGAAGCTATAAACATTAAATTCCACTCGTAAATATTCTTAAATTTGAGTTATCTACCAATGTCCCAAGTACTGTGTCGTAGTTTTGTTTGACGTTTCTATTTCAATGTAATCTAAGTTAGCATGCCGCCTTAGAAATAATATACCGTAAGCGGGGATTTAAAGAAGTTATATTTTCATTCTAGGTTCTTTTAATGTTATATTTGGAACGACGCGCTGTTCCGTCGTTCCTTCTGATATGTTTGGATGTCAAGATTCAAAAACGCTTCGTTGAAGCTCGGAATCAAAGCTGACAATCTGACTCTTGAGCTGAGCTGTTCTTGTCAGCTGAGGCGTTTACAGGCAGAAATGTGGCAGCGTGTGCTCCCACCAGAGTGTCGCACTGAAGGCGAGAAATTGAGCAACTTACCATAATGTGGTCAAGCTGCAGTGAAGAAGAAGCTGCTTTGGCGTGACGGGTGTAGGATGAAGTTAAACATCTAATTCTCCATGTGGCTTATAATCATCCTCCACCTATTTTGTATTTCTTCTCCTTTTCTGCAGCCCGTAAACAGGAGATCATCAAGATAACGGAACAGCTGATTGAAGCGATCAACAATGGAGATTTTGAAGCCTACACGTGAGTGCTGCAGTTTCTTTAAGCCATGGGAAATACTTTCCTAACTGCAAATACTTTTATTGGCTGAATGTGCAAAGTAACCGCTGTTTGTGATAAATAAGATGGCTTTGAAAGTGATTTCTTGAAAAATTTGACTTTTCTGGAGGATTTTTATCTCACACCTTCCTTCGTGACAAACATCTTGAACACTGTAAAACTCAGTTTTATTTTTATGTCCTGCTGAAATCATGGTGTTCTAATCGGCAGACTTCCAGTTAACATTTTGTTTACTCTCTGCCACCTCCTTTACCACTCCTATCAAATTTTTATTAGCTGTTGTTGAAAACAAGTGTGATGGCTGCAGTGTCATGCTGATTTTTTTTATGCATATATAAAACCAAACATTAGTAGACTTTGATGTTTACTTGGGAAGGGCTGGGCAATATGGCTGGAAAAACATCACAATATTAGTATAAAAAATTACTTATTAGTTTTTGTTTTTAATATCTGGAATACTGCCAAACCGGTGGTGAGATCTTTCTGATTTTATACAGTTTTCACTCCACTCTGTTATTTATTTTTACGCAGTTTAGCAGGTTGTTGCTAGGTAACCAGTGAGTGAGTGAGTGAGTTGATGCTACAAACCTTAGCTTAGCAGTTGACCATGAGAGATTGAGCAGCAGAAGTCTTTCCTCTGCCTACATTTCCCACAATGCTGTGTGGTTCTAGATCAAAGTTTAGTGAAATTATTTAATATTCTATCGGACATGTTATCTAATGATAATTGATCACATGTCTATCGTGATATATATTATTGATTCCATATGCTTGGGATAATAGCAGTTTTCTGTACAAGCTTCTGTTCAAAGCAGTCCCAGAGCATCACTGAGCCACTGCTGTGCTTCACTCTTCCTCCTCCAGACATACTGCTGCTAAATCTCCCTGAATAATTTTGGTTTTGATTTGTTGCTACAAAAAAACAGAAGGCCAAACTCTCTTTTGACTCATTTAAGTAGTTTTGAGCAAATCAGTGCTATTTGATTACAATTTGTTGCTTTTCAGTAATTATTGCTGCACGTCTTGCAGCTTAAGTATGAAGTACCTGTTGAGCTTTTGACCTCCTGCATAATGAGGTTTGTTTTTACAAAGATTTTTATTCACAAGAATAAATTGTTTTGACTGCAGTGAGACTTGGTGTTGAATTTAGCTGAAATCCTGAATATTTCATTACATCAACTGATCCTCTGTAATCAGTTTATTCCAAACACCTGAACTATTTAGATTTTTGCACTTAAAGCTCATTTTCAGTGCGTGTCGAGTAATTTTAGTTGTAGCTGTTGTCTTTGTTTTGTGACTTTGATATTCAACCTTTGACCTTTTTCCTTTAGGAGGATTTGCGATCCTGGACTCACCTCTTTTGAACCCGAAGCTTTGGGAAACCTGGTGGAAGGCATGGACTTCCACAAGTTTTACTTTGAAAACTGTGAGTGTCTTCCAGACTTGCAGGATGTATATATTATTATTTTCCTGTAGATTGCATTTTACTTCTAAAATATTTAGTTTATTCCCAGTACGTGTTCAGGTTTTGATCGGCCAGAGTTGTGAATCATGTCCTGCAAAACCGTCATCACATTGGTGTTTTATCTGTCCAGTGCTGAGTAAGAACAACAAGCCCGTGCACACCACCCTGCTGAACCCACACGTCCACCTCATCGGCGAGGACGCCGCGTGCATCGCCTACATCCGGCTCACGCAGTTCGTGGACTCCACGGGCCGCCCTCGTTCCAGCCAATCAGAGGAGACCCGGGTGTGGCACCGCCGTGACGGAAAGTGGCTCAACGTTCACTTCCACTGCTCAGGAGCACCGGCTGCACCACTGCAGTGATCAGGTACAAACTGTGCAGTTTCAGTGAAGTTTGGCTTAAAATTTATACGTTGATGAAATTTGGAGATTTTTTTGTTGTTGTTGTTCATTTAATGTTTTGTTCTTGGATCAGTGATGTGTGTAGAGTTTGTGAGAGAGACATTTCAAAACATAAAATTGTGTTTTATTTTAGTTTACCTTGTTCCTGGTGTAGAAAGCAGAACACTATCACGAGATGTAATAAATGGGGGTGCAACAATTTATCGGCCAGCCGATCTATCGGTGCTGATTTCCTTAACTTTTGGAGATCTGTGATCAGCCGATTTTTACATGTGAAGCCGATCTTATCCACCGATGTTATGAGCCTTGGCAAAGGTCTAAAAATCAACCACTGTGCTTTTCTTTTCTCCTGTGAGAGACGTTTGACTGACAACCAGGTCATGTCTGCACATTTACAGTTGACAACAGTCACCCCATCGTTGCCAATTCAGCAACTTTCTTGATATATTGAGCAACATTTCAGACAAAAAAATGGTATTGACTAAAATTGGAATCAATAAGTTAGGCTTTTTAAAAGATCAGTAATCGGCAATCGGTCAACACCTAGTAATAAATTACATAAATAGTGAATTGAAACTCTATTTTTAGTTAATTTGTATTGTTTTTATCTTCAAATTATGATTTTGGAAAAGTTTGAAAATTACCTTTGTGCTTGAATTTTACTGTGTGAAAAACGTACAAACCCTGTTATTAGACTTCATACAAGATTTGTGAACATCTCTGCAGTTGCCATAATTTTCTCATTTGCTTCACTCAGTATAGATCGTTATTATTATTAATGTTTTACAAAGTATTTTTTGGAAACACTTTATTTAATGTAAAGTGACAGTCATAAATTTGACATAACACATCATGAACATGAAGGAGTTTTTATGGAAGTGTAAATAATGCAACTTTTAATGAAAAGTTCCTTTTAAAAAATGGCATTAAAAGTCCCAACTTATTTGGTAAATAATGACTTTTAAAGCAACTTTGCATTGAAAGTGTCATTTACCGAATGACACTTCCATGACAACAGTCATAAACATTCATAAAAACTCCTTCATGCTCATCATGTCAGTCTTCAAACAAAGTTTTACCTTTTTGTTTTCATCTAAACGCTCTTCCTCTCTCCCTCAGCGGTCCTGAGGCTCCGGTCCTCTGGAGCGAGTTTATTGGGGGGCAGTTTTTTTCAGCGAGCGCGTTTTCAGAGGCACGTCCTCTGCGTGGATTGGATAGTGCCAGGAAGCCCGGCCGGGCCAGAACGCATCCCTCTCCACGTCACCAACCAACCCCGACCCTCCTTTGACCTGCTGGGGGCCGGCTGAACACGAGAACCCCGCCTCCCCAACCCCGACCCCTCCATGAGATGATGATGCATGCATCTGGCGCCTGACTGGAGGGTGCATCTTTGCCCTCTTGTCCCTCCCCTGGCAGCCATCTTTTTTCTGCCTGCGCGAGATGACATGTCCTTGGGGAGGAGAGGATATACAGTTGAACTTGTGACAGTTTATGAGTATGAGTTATGAATATACTGTGTAAATTTATGGCTAGATGTACCAGAAACCACCAAAACCCAACCAAGCATTTATCTTTATCTGGGGAAAACAAAAGGGAGGAGCGGAGGGGGAGTGCTTAGATTTTGTACACATTTAGGGATTACCAGGTTGGAAGTGTTGTCCTCGCTACCTGGGTGTTGACATGAAGGGAAATCTTTCCTCAGCTGAATTAAAGAGGGAAAGAAAAGAGAAAAAAAGAAAAAAAAGAAACAATCAGGTTCGCTCTGAGAACTTGACGACGAGAGAAACTTGATATCAAAAACACGAAGCACCAAAGTGTAGAACTTTAGTGTAGGCTTTCTACGTGTTTGTGTTTTCGTTCGTGTTCTTGTTTTTTCCGACGGATCGGAAGTCGTTGTTGTTCGTGGGATCGGGGAACGTTAGCGGAGGGGGGCGTCTGAACTAAAGTCGACGTGTTTCGTTGTGTTTTTTAGCGTCCTGATCCATTTGTGTTCTCGTGAACAACAGGAGCCATTATCCGTGTGTTTTTCCTTCCTTTTTTTTTTTTTTCCCGCTCTGACTGACTATAATTGAGGCTCCTTTTTTTAAAAAAGCAGCTGAGAACTTTTTGCTCTTTTTTTTTCCAGTAAGGATTTTATCGTGCACATTGGAAGCTAGCCGCGTTTCGTCGTGTGTCTATATGCAGTTGAGGGAGGAAGAGGAGCAGGAGGCCCGTACCATGAAAAGCCGCTGCCTGCGTTTTGCATGTTTGCTCGCTGCCTCTCCCTCGTTAACCTCTTTTAACCCGTTACTCTGCTTTCTGCAAGGGCCTGGTTTGTTTATAATCACTGTGTAAATACAGTGTATGTATAGATATATGTAGAAAAGTGTAATATATGTACATGTATCTAAGAGACACTCATCCTGTGCATTTAGGGGAATGGACCCCCTTCCCTCTGTAACCCCACTCTAGTTTAGGTGAAGCTTGTTCCTCTATTCGTAGCTCTCAACCCTGAAACATTTGAGGTATTGATTGCTCTAAAATAAACAAATCAATGCCCTCCTGTAGGCGCTCCCATGGCCGTACGACTGTTTATGAAGAAAGGGAATAAAAACAAACGCCAAGATGGAAGTAATCCCCCCTCTCTCCCTCTCTCTCTTTCTCAGCAACACTCCAAGAACTATTTTTAAAGATACTAGTGTCCTTAACTCCTGGTCCCACGATGCTGTGAGCCGTCTTTTCATATCATATGCACCCACGCACTCCGGGCGGTGTGTTTTTAGGCTTTGTAACATATCTGCACCGCTGCTGTGACCGGCGCCGCCCTCGTCGTGCTGCTTTAGGTGTCCTCCCTCTTGATATCTCCATTTGACAGATTGACTGACCCCTGACCTCTCCCCTCTGCTCTTGAAACAATTCTTTGTTCCTTTCTCTGTTGTTCCCGTGTTACTGGTTTTAAGTTTTTATTATTATATTATTATTATTATTATTATTAATGTTGCTGTTGTCGGTTGGTTATTTTTTGCCAATCTGCCAAGCTGGAGTTCTGCACTCTCCCTCATAAACATGTAGAAAAAAAAGAAAAAAGGGAAGAGGAAGTAAAAACAACAAAAACTTCTTAAGGGATATTAATCAGGACTTAATTATTTATCAGTGTAATCAACCCTTGGTGGTTTTATGTGGCGCCTGCTGGGAGGAGAGACGTGCGGGTTGCGACACCTAGTTATTTGCATGTTTCAGTTACACATTTCTATCACAAAATATGGATGGAGCTAGTGTTCAATATATGATATTTGCATCTTTTGAAATTCCATCCACCCAGAATGTTGAACAAGTGATATGAAAATATAAAACATGATTTTACAAAAAAGGATAAAAAAAATAAAAGATTCAGGCGCCGTAGCTTGGTATGAGGCCCTCGATGTTTTCCCTGCGTTGTAATGATATATTATCGGGCTGCGCTTCTCCCCTCTCCCCCTGCCGGCCTTCACACGAACGCTGGATTTATATTTTTCTTGCTTTGTTTTATTTTGCATGATCACAGTGTACAATAAAATACAACCATAAATTGCCGACTATCAAGTGTTTGTCTGAGTGTTAGTTGGTCTTCATCATAGCTTTGTTATTCTTCAAACTTGGATCTTGGAAGTATTTAATAAAAATACTATTTCAGCACTGCTTTGCCTCACCCGAGTTGTTCGTTTCTTCTGTTCTGCTGAATTGTTCCTGACTTCCTCTCGGTTCAATCCTCCTGCAGAAAACGGTTTTCAAACCATCAATGTTTCAGTTTTGATTGAAGGTTTTGAACCCAGTGTTTGTTCTGCTAAGACACGTTTAATTTTAACCTCACAGGATGAATTACTGATGCTTCAAATCAAATTACAAAATGATCAATATTTAAATTTGAAAATTAAAATGCATGAATTTCATTTAGCATGTTTATTCCTGCTGATGATTATGGCTTACAGGTGAAAGAAAAAGGAACAATCTGAGACTGATTGGCTGTATTTTTAAAGTGCAAGCAAATTTGATGGAAAATTAAGTGGAAGGAAAACAATTTCAAACACCATAGAGATGCTCTGGATTATTGCTAAGAGGAAGATGAGCTGAAATTGAAACAACTGAGCCACTGTACAGCCTGAAGCAGTAGACAGAACTGGATTAAATGGAAACCACTAATTCAAACTGACCAACTCACCGCGAATATTTTCATGGTTTTCTAGTAATTTAAACTGGTTTGTTTTAACCTGACATTACAAACTGTCCAATATGTTTTAAATAAATGGCTATGAAAAGTTTTAGTTGATGTTAGGAAATCTTTGGAGCAGATTTTAGGAGATTTATATGATTAACTGTAAATCTGAGGTTCTGCGTTAAAATGGCCAATCGACTGACTGATCGGCTGCTTCTGGTCCGAAGGAGCTGGACTTCTTCAAGATTCTGTCCAAGAACTCTGCTGGAAATAAAGACTAACGATCCAGGTTCGGTTTGGTTCTGGTGTGTTTTCCAGGATAACGAACAAAAAGTCAAAAATGATTGTAATGAAATTTCTGTTCATAGTGGATGAAACTTGACTGAATGAAGAACCGTGGTCGGTTCTGAACTTCTGATCAGCTTCAAAAACTAACAAAAGAACAAAATCCGTCCGGATTCGACCCGGAACAGATTTTGCTGAACAGAAACTTCAGACCAACACTGATCAATTCCTTATGAAAGGGTTAATAATTAATGTCAAAGTGTTTCTGTTGGAATTTTATTTCTTACAAACTTCTAAGATCTGAAAGGGTTTTTCATCCCTCTTTTACTCTGGGACCCCTAAATAAAATCCAGTATAACCTTAAATTATTCACTAAAACCTCACCTCTGTGTAATTTAGTCTAAAAGATAAATCCAGTTATGGAGAGGTTATAAAACAGTTATTACAATTATTAGAAAAGTATTTTTACAGCGCTCTAATTTAAAATGTTAAACCTCAAATATGAATATTTAAGTAAAAGTCAGGTTTTGTCTTTAGAGGAATAAAATTATGTGCATAATAATTAGGCAAATGTTATTCTGCTGACTTATTACTCTGGTTGATGAACTAAACACACATTTTCCCGTGTAAATTTTAGTTTTTATCCCTCTAATTGGGATTTAAAAACGACTTTGGATCTGTTGATCAACTTTTTGTGCTTCCCACATTTTCTCATTTTCTCAAGTTCTCAGGTGGGTTCAGGTGAGGAATCAAACGTTTTTCAATTTTAACGCCTTAATTGGCTCGACTTTGATGAATGTAATGGAGCATTGACCTGCAGAGAAATTTTTTTTTTCTTTTTGAAAGAAAACTTCTTCCTGTAACGCTGTCTTCTGTAAACTGGCAGTGAGTTTATTTTTGAGCCCAAGAAAAGGCTTTACGTACTATTAACTAATGGAGGGATGAGTACTAATGCATGCCACACTTTTCAGATTAGATATGTAAAAAAAAAAAAATTATGAAATTGTTCCTTCATTTCACAGGGTTGCACCATTTTGTTTTGATTTTTTTTTCCACAAAATCTTTATATATATTTATATATATACCAGCTTTTGTTGAAGTTTCATAAGTTTTTTAATAAGTTTTATATGTTACATAAGTCTTTTTTTATTGACAGAAACTGATTTGGTGACATGTTATTTTGCCTGATTTTGTTATTTTTTGTTACATGAATTGTTGTCATTTCGTCCTTAATACACCAACATTTCCACTTATCTCCATATTTTGGTCCGTCTGATGATGTAATTAAATTTTTTTGTTACTCAGTACTTGAATATACTTTTTACCAAATACTTTTTTACTTGGATGGCTACAGTTTACTTTCACTTGAGTAAAAATATGTCAACGTAGTGCTACTTCTACTTGTGAACAATTTGTGAGTACTTTGCCCACCTACATTGTTTTAAGTGAAATAATCTGCAAGTGAAACTAATAGTTTTTTAATCAATATTAAGGAATTGTTGGCATAAAACAAGTCAAATCTTGCTGAAAACTTTCTTATAAGTTAGATTTGTCTCATTTCAAGTAAATAAGATATTTATAGTAAAAACTAGACCACAGATACTTGGTAAGACTTTGTGTTTTTGCAGTGAGGAACGTGAATGGAGCCGCCCTTTCTGCCCAGATTTTTCGGATGCCTCCTCTCCGCCCTCAGGCGTTCTCGTTTCAGCTGCAGTGATCACAGCGAAGCGTCTGAAAAGCGTTTCTGCTGGCCTTGGTGACGGTCCGAGTTATTTTCAGGTTTTTCTGTGCGTGTGCGTCTCTGGGATGTAGGACAGCTCCCCTGGTTCTTCTGCTTTCTGTATGAGTAATGAGCAGAGCTCAGCAGCTGGTTAACACTGACACACACACACACACACACACACACTCACACTCACAGAGGCTTCATCAAAGACGCAGAAAGGAGAAACCTCGTGGGGGAATGTGTCCTGGTAGCTATCGCTGACCTCCGACTCTTCAGTGTCAAAGAAATTAGGAAAGAAGCCAGACTGAATCTCCTGAATCTAAATTACTTTTGACCTTCAAAGGTCTTCCAGAAAACTTCCCCATCACTACAAAGATGCTCCCCGCTAATATCTGCAAAGTTTCTTTTCAACCTTTGTAATCCTTTCTCCTCTTCCTTCTGAAACAAAACAAGGTTTCCTTATTGTGCAGCCTTTGAGTTGCGGTGCTTTATCTTTAAAATTAAACTCCCCAGAGTGAATTGTGCTGCTGTATGTGCAATTATTCTGACTTTAAAAAGAAGGTAAGCCATTTTTAAGTGCAATCACAAACTTTATTTCATTGGGATTTCACGTA